TCTGCCTGTTCTGCTCCCCACTCTGTCTCTGGTGAATCCTCTCACCACCACCCCCCCCACACTTCTGGCCTATACCCCATTCTTGTATGCATAAATAAAAAAATAAAATAATTAAAAATAAAATAAAAACAGTTCAAATCTTGGAATGCAGCAGAATTGCAGAAGACCCTATCATTGTTAACTGTTACACCACTGACAGTTACCTTCATTTCAGGGAAAGGACAATAAGGAATGGCAGGGAATAATCTACTTGGTTTCTAGCAAACTGGGGCATGACCAATTTCTCCCAACAAGGGTATATGCAGATAGATCTCCTACTAATCTGAATATTGTAACCAAAAGAGGACATATATGGAACCCCAAAGTAATTAAGAATACATTCCCCCAAATTTACAGGCTTTATAATACAGTGTTGTTTTCTCAACTACATAATTTTTGCAACAGATTTAAGGAACAAAAGAACCAATTTACAACTTTCTTCTGCACCCACAGTGCCATCTAGTGTATAAAAGCCTGGAACTGTTTCACTCCATCACCCCTGACTTCTATAACACCACATACATCTTTTTGGATACTGTGACTCAAGATCTAATTTCTCTGGGTAACTGAATGCATTCACAAGGCTTTGGACTCGCCTGAATGACAACTTCCCGCATCCTGCATATTTCAGGTGTTAAAAATTACTTGTTGAATAAATGAAAAACCATATATTTTTATATAAAGCTTTCCCCCCAGATGTCTTCTTAAACTGACACTCTGCTGGATCCTGAGAATACATTGTCTCTCAAATGGTTGGACTCCTCTAATTCCAGTTGACTTGTAAAAACATATATATTTAATATATATCCACAATGAACTAGATTTCAGCAAACTGACAGAGAGGTGATACATTTTAAAAGGGAATCTTAATGATCCTTTACAGTGATTTACTGCTTGCATTTCAGTTGGAAACACTACTGCTAAAAAGCCTTCATGTACCTCAACGTTCCTTTCTTATGTTCTAGTAGCCAGAAGCAGACCCAAGTTTGGAAGACCTAACACTTACATAATTTGGAAGCTCTTCAAGACAATGAATGTCAAATTATGAAGACAAATGTAGGCTCAGGGCCTTGCCTTCGGATTCCGGCAGAGGGAGAACCCTGAGCTTCAGCCTCAATAACTGCATTATCAAGGTAATTGCATCTGTGTTTGTACCCAGTAGCCAGGTCAAATGATCTTGCTGGGATGTTCATTTTGGGGTCAGAAAATTAGTAAATCCCATAATTTTCTAGCCTAGAAATGGTCTAACCTTCAGCTCTCTTCACTTCACAGGAGAAAAAGAGGTAAAGCTGTTAGGTCCAGCATGACCATGTGGTGGGCTGGAAGCAAACTCTGCCCCTGTTGCTGCAATTGGGCTAGCTAATTTGCTCAAGTGATCATTAACCTCTCATGCTGGATGTCTTGCTACTTTAGGCAACCAAGAGACAGAGATGGCCAGAAATGACTGCCCCAAATTAAAGGTGCCCTAAGGTAGGTTTTTACTCAACGTTAATGTCTGCACAGCAAATAAATATTCAAAAGCAATAAGAAAGAAAGGTTTGGTTGAATCATGATAAGAAAAGTCCTCTTCTAAACAAAGAAAATAATAACCCAAGGCAGGGATTCGAGGTAAGAACAATTTCCATTTGAATCCCTGCCCCTTCCGTGAAAGAAACACCTGCTGGAGCCCCTGGAGCCTTTTCCAACCTTCATGCTACAGGAAAGTCCGACAGACCTCCATCTGCCAGTCCATGTTCATCCACATAAAATAACAAGGGAGCGACATGCTACAGCCCAGCAGGCAAGCTGGGGCCAGCGGGACAGCCAAGCTGCCCAGTGGGGGAGTCACACTGGACTGTTATGTAGAAAGCGTCTATGCCATCACCTTCTCCTTAGAATCCTGAAATGCATAAAATAATCTCATCTGTTTTAGGACTCAGAAAGGTCTTGAGAGAGGGTTTTCAAATCTCTCTGAGAAGTCTACTGAGTGCTGCTTATGCATACAATAAAAAAACTAATTTGTGCCCATTAACTGGGATGGTAGCAAACTTGCCCTCTTAGTCTCTCTGCCATTTTCCCAAAAAGAAAACGTTGAGGTGTCATCAGGTTGCAGAAGGTGCCAAAGCACTAAGACTGCACACGGCATTGCAAATCTCTCTGGCTTCCTCCTGGGGTGGTCCCTAGCTGTGCTGCTGGCATTTGTCAGCTTCTCTCCTGCAGCGCTGCAGAATGGAGATACCAGGTATTCTACAAACCACAGCTACTGACAATGCAGAGACCGTGATCACAATATGGTCAGGATTTTCCCGGGCTTGGACTTCAATGATATCAAAATAAAAGATACAAAATTTGGTCAGTGGTAGTAATTCTTCGGGCTAGATGAATTATAAACAAAACTAAACTGTCAGAAAAAACTGTATGTAACTTTAAGCATATAAAGTTAAGCTTACCAAAGCTCAGGAGAGGCAAATGTAAAGATTATCAGAACACTGATTCATTCCCACCGTCAAAATTTCATTAGTTACATTAAGTACACTGTTTTTACTTAAGAAATGTTGCATAATCATAGTGCCTGTTACATGAGTATTTTAATATGTTGTGAGAAATATAAAAAGTCATTGTGACTATAAAATGCATCTTAAGTTTGCATTTGCATAATTTTCTGTCTAAAAACATAATGCTCTTGCTATAGTAGCTTTAAAGGCACAGACTACTTTATTTTATGCAATGCAGTTAAGTCTGTAGAATAAACAAAAGAAATAAGCAGACAGAAATTAAGCACTAGGGCACAAATGAAATGGAGCACAGGGCATTTGAAGCTGATAAATTTCCTTAGAATGGCTATTTGGAAGACAAGGGGAAGTTATTCTGACTCTGAACATTCCCCACCAGCCCATTAAGAAACTTAACAATGTACAATGCCTCTGTGGTAATATGTTCATTTTTCCAAATGCCACCTTTATATTCTTAAAATCAAGTGCATAACATCAAGATAGATATCCCCCAAATGTTGAACTGTATATTAAAAGGTCCTATGATATTCTGGAATTTTCACCACATCATCTGTAATCTTTCTGCAGAATACAAGTAAACACCACGTGGGGTCCATCTTTCATATACATCTCAAATTTCCAAGTCTACACTGAATACCTGTTGATACAAAGAGGCATCTACATTCATTAAAGATGAAACTCTCCTCCCCAATGACCTATGGATCACTAACAGCTTCTCCACAACAACCACCACGTACACTGGTTTTCATTCTGAAATATGCTAAACTGATTGGAATGGAATTGGTATCTAAAAAGAGAGAAGATGGAACAGACCTCACCAGGAAAGGTAAGGCAAATAACATGAGAGAAGGCCCCAGAGATCTAAATAAGTTTATCTATTGTTCTAAACAAGAAATTGGTGGGGGAGGGGGGAAGCATTCTATTGCTCAAACCAAACATCTCCCCATATTGTGGCGAGGGAGAGGGCTCTAAGGGAAATGGGAAGTTTTTCTCACTTGTGAGGCAAGAACAAATCTTGATTCATCCTTACTCCTCAAGAAGAGCTTTGATGATTGCCCTTGTAAGCCTTACTTTCTTCGCCTCTAAAATGGGGATTATGAACCTACCCTTCTGGAATTGTTAAGATTAAATAAGACAATAAATACCTGGAGAAAGCAAATGCCCAATAAATGTTCATTATTGTAAGCTAAGCATTCTAAATTCTATAAAAATTTTTCAAACCATTTTTCTTTTTTATTGAGGTAACACTGTTTCCTACACTGTATCTGATTCAGAGGTATAATTGCCACCCTTCAGGTGAACGTCATCACACCACACCCACCAGCAAACACCCATAGTCCTCTATGATAGTCCTATGTCATCCCATCAGTCCCCATTCCAGGCTCCCCTATCTAGTCATCTCAAATCTACGGTCAGATTTCCAGGGCTAGTTTGGATTTGGTTTGGACTGCTCCTTTGTTTTGATTCTCTACATTCCACACATGAAACATTAGGGAACAAAGGTTCTCAGTTTTATAGTCTAATTAACTAGTTCTCAGTATTATATTTCTAATTAAGATGTATCACTTACCAATTCCATATTTAGTCTTATAATAAAGCTTTGTAAATTCATCGCAGTCACAAAGAAGCACTTTCCTTCCCCACACATTGATGGTAGCACCGATGCTCAGGTCACTGTCTTTGTAAAACTGTTGGTGTAATTTTCCATACTAATGAAGACAAAGGAGCACAGTGTTGGTACCACAGAACCTCTAAACACCTACGCACCCCTCCCCAAAGGAAACAGGAAATTACAAAATGAAAACCCTCAATTTTATTCATTATAACCAAAATTTAAAACTCAAATTCGAAGATAACTAGTCAGTATTATCATTTAAAACCATTCTTCTACCAATGGAGTGCTTGCAAATAGCAATGCAATGCCTATATTTGCACAGTCATCTTTTTCATTCACAACCAGCCTCACAAGAGAATACATTCCCGGCCCCAGGGAAGTCACACTGGAAGTAGTAATGAAATGTTGAGTTTTGTCACCTGGTATTTACTTATCAATTTTTTTTATTATATATACAAACATTTAACATCATTTTTCATTTTTGTACAAGGTGTGCTCTTTCTTCTCAGGTGTTGTTCCCATGCAGTTCCTACCACCAGGTCACCTGTGTACCAGCACATGGTTCCTTGTGCTCTTCCCACCCGTCTTGATCCTGCTCCCCACTGGCCCCCTGCAGAATGCCTTGGTTCTTAGTTGTCTGTTAATTTTGATATTTACTTTATTATATATGTTTTTTCCTGATCCCTTATTTGGCTTACCTGATATTTATCCAACAGGTAGCCAGTCACTCGGTTCTCTGAGTAGCCACCATACACGTTGAGAACAATGCGATCTGTTATCTGGCCTGGTTCGTAGACTCCAGGTGGGCCAAACTGGAAGAAAAATCAAGACAAAACCTGGTAGTTGACCCCTGAACACCAACGTGGTCCTGTTGAAAAGCTCAATAGGAAACCACACATTGTGTGGTTCTTCTCAGCCATGCGGAGAAAGACAAGATATATATATATATATGCTTCCTCATGGGCTGTGGGCTGATGTACACCCCGCCATTCCTTTAGGGCCCAGATATAGCCACATCCTTTCCTCTGACCGCTGCCATCCTGCGATCCTAGCCCATTCCAGATTTCAATAGCAGGGTTTAAGTGACTATTTGTGATTCTCTAATTGCCTCATCAGCACTCATTTCTCTCTTCACTAAACTATAAAAATACTCAGAGGAAGATACCATACTTTGCCTTTGTTTCCTGACTCAGCTTAGCACACTGCCTGATCCTGAGTTCAGGAAGTATTTGCCAGTCGAGAGGCAGTGTGGTGAGGTGGCAAGGATGAGGGAGTGCTGTCATGCTCTAACAGAAACCACGGCCCAGAGCAAGCCAGGACACTCTTCTGTCGCACACACCTTGGGTGTGGTCCAAGCAGTTACATAAGCTGCAAGAAATATCTTAACCAACACATATAGATTAATAGTAATTAGCTTATCGCATACCGAAGAGAAAGCTAAATCACCCCTGACAGGTGTGACATAAAATAAGTTTGGAAATGTGTGAATTTCTGAATTGGGGGTATAAGTAAGCTCCATAACCAAAAAAAAAAAAAAAATAGTCCATCTGGATATATGCTTTTATCTTCTCAGACTTTCAGTTTCATCATAGAACAAAGGATGTTGTGAGTGTCAAAAACACCCACTTTTACTGTTATTTTTCCCCAAGAATGTAAGCTCCATGAAAGAGGACTTGATCCATGATAACCCCAGAGCTGGCACACAGGTGACACTCAAAAGATACTTGTTGAGTGAATGAATAAGTAAGGCAGTTGATACCACAGCACACTGCAAATGTCAGCTGTGTCATTAGTATTTTATATTTAGCCTATTTTTCAAGTCATTCCCTAGCACCTCCCTGGCACCTGCTGCACACCACACAGCTCCCTCTGGGACAAATGCTGCCTCCACCCCTCCCCCAACCAAATAACCAGGGTTTTGTTTGCATCAGAAATGACTATTACAGTAACCTTTTCAGTAGCATTGAGAGTTAAATTAAGAAATACTTTATCCAAGTAAGAAATAAAACATAACAAAGAGCTATGAAAATATGTGTCTTTTTTTAAAGATTTATTTATTTATTCATACAGAACTGGGGTACAGGCCAGAGGTGCAGGGGCTGTGAGAGGATTCATCAGAGACAGAGTGGGGAGCAGAACAGGCAGACAGATGAAATACAGTGCTGAAGGGAGCCTATCTGTGTCATTAAAGTGTCTTTATTGGTATCTATAGGCTACTGGAATTTTTTTACTGTATTATCTCATTCAATCTTCACCTCAGGAAGGGGGCTTTGTTAACTGTGATAAGGAATTACAGTCAGAGAAGGTGAGGTGACTTGCCCAAGTTCACACAGCTGTTAAGGGGCAGATCCACCTTCTGTCTCTGTGTTATCTGTGATGTGCTGAAGTTACCTTAGCTCCCAAATGGCCATTGATACGTGTAGAAATCAGTCCGAGGACTCTTTTAATAGTAAGTAAAATGCAAAGGCTGCCATTGCTGCTAGCCTGCAGCTAGTTAGAAACTGTTGGAGAAGCTCAGGAGAATCCCTCTTAAACATATGCGTATATGGGGGTGTGTGCACAGTGGCACTCCAGGCTGACAGCTAGTCTCCTCAGTAGATGCTAGAGACCAGGGGCTAGTGGCCTGCCCAAAGCCATGAGCAGTGATTTTACTAATTACTTACCAGCCTAAGACTGACTGTGAATTTAGTAATGAATAGGTATGTTCTTTTGCATTTAACTTTTTTCATTAACTTGCCTTGATTCCAGAATATCCCAACTCCAATTTGTCATTATTCCGCATTACACTCACAGATGTATATTAATAGAGGACACAAAATGAAAGTTCTCGAAACACTTGCACTAATAAAGGGCAACTGTCACCCCCTGGTCATTACACGACATTCCAGATAGTCTTTCAGCCCTCCGGAAACTAGCTAAGTAGCTCTGGGTCCGCTGCTCACCTTGGGGAGCTTTCTCCTCTGGAGGAACAGTGACATGGCGTCTCGGCCTGAATTGTGTGGCAACACTTCTTTGATTTCAATCGTATCATCGGAAAGGAAGTAATGCAGGACAAGTTCTCTGCGGTCCCCAAACAGCGAGGCTGAGTCATCCCAAAGGCAGAAGAAACGCAGAACCTTCCTGTCATAGTTAAGGAACTGCCTCAGGGTGTCAAAGGGCTCATAAGGTCGCAAGGGCTCCATGCAGTCTAGTGTCTGCAAACAGAGAAAAGGGCAGTGACATAGGGAGCTTTGCTTAATCACTCCTGGGACGCAAGCAATCGAACAGAAAACATACCTTTCCACAGACTATTCTGTGAAATTTTTAAGAATTTCAAATGAAGAGTGGCATGGGTATATGCACAGCTAACCAATTTTAACCTTAAAAATATAGAAAATCTATTATTATTTATTTTTCCCTGAGAGGAGAAAACATACAAGCATACATTGTACAAATGAACAATGATGTAAAATGTAGGTATAAATTAAAATGCTGGTTTAAGAACACACAGAACTAATGCATGGAGACAGAATTAGATGAGTTATTGCAGCTGGTCACAGACGGACTGAAAAGGCAGACAAGAGAACTTTCTAGGGTGGTGGAAATATTCTATACCTTGACTTTCATGTTGGTTATTAATCATTTTTCAAAGCTGGCAATCTGTACATTTAAGATTTGTACATCTGAGTCTATGTTAATTATACCTCGACCAAAACCAGTTGGCTTGGCACTGAAAATTCATACCTGTATCTGCTTCTTACTCATCAAAGATTTTTGTGAAGTAAAAGGTAAAAGGGAAAAACAGAAGAAATAGTTTCATAGTTTTTATTAGCTCAAGAGCTTTAGATAGTGAAGATCTGACAGACTATGGCAACCGGAGCAGAACAAATGGAGAAATTTCTAGTCTGCAACAGAGCAATGGCCTGAGTTCCATCCCCAACCTCAGAGCCTCTACGTTCTGCAATGTCCTTGGTGCAATTCTTCTCTCTCTGTACACTGTCAGCCCTTGGTGCTGAACTGCTCCCACTCTACTTGAGGTAGCCAAACAGGGTCATTATGCAAAGAAGTGTTCATCTGGAGAGACAGTCCCAAATCAGGTTATATTACTCTTATTGGTAAATTCTCAAAACTTTTTACCTGTCCAGGGCAATCTGGGTACCGACGTACCTACCTGAGAGAAGGAGACGTGATGGATTCTGGAGCGCTTCGCTCTTTAGACCTGTGCTTGATACTTAAATGAAATTATGAAACCTCTCCTTTCACTGATTGGAAATGTTTCCTTGACAGTATAAGGCCTCTAAGAGATGCATTATTAATTATATACCATCGGGGCTCTTTTCAGTTTAAGTTAAATTGTTTAATTTTAACTTTACATTGCAAGGCAGCAAACACTGGAGAAGTAAATGCACTAAAGTCAATATGAAAGTCTCTTATTAAACTCCTAATTTTCTACAGATTGCTATATTTATTGAAGGTTTTTCTCCCTGAGGGAGTAAATGTTAAAATGATTTCAAGCTGAAAGGAAATTATTTAGAACATTTCTTGGCTGTTCTTGGTATTTATTCTTGACTCATGGCTCAAAAGATTTTTTTTCTTTATAAACCTATGAAACTACACAGTGCTCTGTGTATTTCAAATAATGAGTGCATCGCCATTCACAATCACTACTGGAGAATACTGTTAGTGAATGTGTGCAGCCTTGTGCAATGGGTGGTAACTCATATGGGCCCATTTCTTTCAGGGCTCTGCTGGTGGTAAAGAATCTGTATTTATCTGGAACCTTTTATTATGATATTTGGAAAAAAGAAGAATGAACCCAAATCATACCGCTCCTTGCACACCAATATAATGCCGTGGTGATTGCATCCTAAATACCCCAGAATCAACAATATGTATTTCTCAGGAGAGTTGCATGTCTACAACATTAAAGAATAATTCTGCTGGGGCTAGGAGAGGCAGGAAGAGATTTATGGTCCACCATTCAGCTTTTAACAGAAATCAAAGGAGAACTTTATTCAAAATTTATGTTACCTTTCTGCAAGGAAATGAATTATAAGTTTACAAACCATAAAATTAAGACAAAACTAATCTAAAGGGATAGAAATAAGAACTGTGGTTATCCCTGGGTAAGGAGAGGAACTTACTGGAAAAAGGCATGCATGAAGGGACTTTCAGGGCATGGAGCGGGAACATTCTGTATCTTGATGCGGTTTAGATTACAAGGGTGCATGTATGCACTTACCCACTGAACACTTAATTTCTGCGTATTGTATTGTATGTAATTTTACTCCAATAGAAAGAGAAAAGAAGAGCAAAGGCAATAATGAAAACTAGGGTAAGAAGCAAGAAGACTGGCTAGTTATGTTACCTTTCATGTGATACTTCTCCTTTTGGGTGCTCAGATACTTCAGTGAAACATAAAATTTGGGCTAAAGAATCATTTTAAAAATAAAACCTTAGGGCTCTCCCTGGTGGTGCACCGGGTTAAAGTACCGTAGTATGAAGCTCTCCAAAGACAGCCAGGGAGCTGACCCACATGGTATGGCCCCTCTCAGTGGTGTACTTCGTCAGTCTGCCTGTTCTGCTCCCCACTCTGTCTCTGGTGAAGCCTCTCATCTCCCACACTTCTGGTCTGTACCCCAGTTCTATAAGCATAAATAAATAAATCTTTTAGAAATAAATAAATAAAAATAAAACCTTAGAAGGTCAAAATCACACTACTGATAACTGATTCTTCCTTCCTACACTAATTGGGGTCAGACTTTGACCTTCCCTTCCCAGGAAGGGTACATCAGAATCATGGCCTTCTTTACTCCTCCAGAACTTCTGTGCACCTGATGCCACCTGAGGAGGAAGGAAAAAGCTGTCCTCCAGGCTGGGCGCTGTATATCAGTAGTACAGAAGCAAAGATTTTCCCAGTCAGAGTTAGGAAACATGGGGACAAATAAGTCAGGTAGTAAGTTTGGGCCCAACTCATAAGTGTGTAGGCCACAAAGCTGATTGTGGCCTTTTAGAAGCTGTCCCACGTGGGTAGCTCACTGAAGACTCCCACTGCCTTGTCTCCCTGAAGAGAAATGAGCAGCAGAGTGTGAGACATTTCTGACCCGAGGCCAACACCCAGCCTTCCCTCCAGCCTAAAGGACAACTTCAGTGACAGGGTCCCCAAAATTCTTTCACCTCTGCGTCCGGAGTACCAGTATCCCTTATTGACTCTCCAAAGGTATCTTCATTCTGAAGACAAGAACTGGACATAACAACTTACCGATTTCCGTAGCTTCAGGTAAGGATCTTCTGGACGCTGCCCTGGGGCATTTAACTTGGTTCCTATTTTCTTCAGAAAGTTTTTTGTGAATGAATCGCAGTCATAAATCCTGAATTTTCGGCCATAAAAGACAATGTCTATGCCAATATTGAAATGATGCACATTATAATATTGATCATCATCAGGAGGTGGGAGAGGAATCCGATGACGACGGATACAAGTCCCTGTGGCATGAGATAAAATACAATTGCTCCATCTGTGGCTATCAGCAAGAGGTCACAGCACAACTTGGGAATGACTTGTGTAACAGAGAAGGTGGGCAAATGACCTGTTCTTGGAGGCACACGGAGTGTGCCAGAGGGAACTGAGAATTCTGAAGTCGTTATTGACCAGCCTTGCACATAAAAATTAGAGTTGCTAAGTAGAGCTAGGGAAGAATTTTAATAAGCCATAGATTTAAGGGTGGGAGAAAAGGATGGTGGTACAAGCAGAATGACTGAATGTGCCCAAGACTACCACTGTGTCTTTCCCCAAAGCAAGTAGACTCACTTTCAGCCACTAGCATTTAACTATGGGCATGATAAAGGCACTGAGCCCACCCAACAGTGCTCTCAAAAATGCATACTCTAAGCTGAAGGGAAAAAAAAAAAGAAAAGCTTTAACAACAGAGGTGTTAATTCCAGGGCTTACAGCATCTACAAATGACTTTATGCTGCTTTGAAGCTTCATGGAATCTTTTACCATCTACTACCCCCTTCTCCCTGCTCCTTCTTCTACCAGCCTCTGTCTACTTCTGCCCAACAACCCCAAGTGACGTCTATCAAAGGCACCACAGTGTTCTACACAAGCGTTCTGGATCTCATCACATACCGTCCAACTCTATGACACCTTTTCATTTCTCCTTTTGAGAATATGGACTCAGGGTCTCCAGCTGCACCCCAAATGGTGATGAGCCACTAGAGGTACAAGCCACTAGAGGTATCGACACCACTACATATGTACCAGCAACTTATTGAAATACTGCTGAAAGCTGTAGTCACGAATCGTTCCGAGTTTGTGATTTTTATCCTGCTGGCAAGCTAACAAGTTGGCCCGCCAAGGTTTCCATGGATGCTGGTAGAAGACACAAGCTCTGGCTGGAGATAAAAAGGGTAGTTCACTACTCGCAGCAGTGACACAACATCAGAATCTCTTGCGCCCTCTTCCTAGTCCCAACTCCAACTAAGTGACACAGAGTGTGAGGTATGTCCTGCACATGCAGTGGGTCACATTCCAGGAGAGGATCCCTAAGCCCAGGGACCTGAATCTTCTATGAAAGGCAATAAGCACTATTGCCTCTTGACTCAGAGGGAGACACTGTCATTATTAGACTAAATAGCATGTTGATTCTAGGAGATGCCAGCTTCATCTTCTAAGGCTATGAGCAAACCTGCCCTCTGCTCCAGAGGGAGACTATCTCCCGAAGCTGCCTGTCATATAAACATCCTTGGAGGAACATTCCGGAACTCTGTGCCTCTACTGCCAGGAGGCACAGGAAAAGCAAGATTCTCAGGGCATCTCAACCTCTGTAACTGACTGAGACTGAGAATTTAGTAACTTGAGAGCAAAAAGAAAATGAGAAAAGGTAAGCAGGGCATACTGGGGGGTCTGATGGTTCAAGACAAGTTGGCTTGTATAACCTCTGCATGGAGGTATCTTAACACAGAGATGTCAAGCAATCGTCTTCATATTTTATACTGTATGAGAATGGCACCTTTTCCCAAAGTCTAAAATACTTAGAAATGATTCATTCCTTATTCATTAAGGAACACTTAATGACTATCTTTATGTGCCAGGAACTGTGTTGAGCTCTGTCCCATTATTCTACTAATCATCTTTTCACTCTGTTGAGGGGAAATTAACTAAAATCATTTTCATCTTCTTTTCTTTGTAGCAATTTTTAATTACTTGGTACATTAAATTAAAATAATAAAACTATAAAATTAGAACTGCTCTAGAATATTTTTAAATATATTACATAAAAGATGATATACTTTTACTGCAAAAAATTATACTTCAATTAGCCTTTAATTCATGCCACTGAAAACAGTATGCAAATTATTTAGTCATTCAAGATTAGACATTTAGAACAAATTGCATACTAAAACATCTATAAAAGGATGGGCATTTCAGGTATTTTCAGGCACCATTATATATCTTTCAAAAATACTTTTATTGTGACAGCTTTTTTAAAATATATAAGATTTATTCAAAAGGAACTACTTCAGAAATTCCATCTATCTTGTTTTTAGACTTCATTAAAAAATGAAGCAAGTTGGCGCTGATTTCTGTTCAGTACGATTTTGACTAGGAATCCTACTGTTTTTCTAGGTGGGAAGAATTGGCCCACCCACAGAGTTTTAAATAATAATCATAATCATCATTATAGCCCTGGGGTATGGTTTCATATACATTTTTCTCATTTAATCTTCCATAATTCCATGAGGCAGATAAGGCAGGTAATTTGTATAATGCATAAATATTCAATTTACAGATGAGAAAACCCAAGCTCAGAGTAGTGAAGTAACATGCCTAGAGCCTACTCTAACAAATGGAGGAGAAAGATTATGAACTTGGATTTTCAAGTGCTCAGAATACACCAATCCTTTCAGTTTGCACTGAACTGCATCTTATCACACAGCCATAGAAAACTTAAGTGAAGGAAAGAAGGGAATGCCATGGGCAAAACAGGATAGGAATGGACAGAAGAGCCACCAGTCACCACGAAAGGAGAGATGACGGAGCTACTTTCAAAAGAGCAGCTCTTCTCATAAGAGCAAATTTCTGGACAGGGTCCACTTGACAAGGACAGCAAATCCCTCCAGGGCCAATACAAGCTCTCCTTTCCTTAAAAGTCTGTATAATCCAGATCCCCACATGCTTCCCTCCCTGGTGGTGCAAAGCATTAAAGCACAGCACAGTGAAGCTGGCCATGGCCACTTAGGTGCAAGTTTGATCCCCACCCCAGAAGTGACCCACATGGTGAGGCAGACCTCTACTGACGCACCCGCTGCTCCCCATCAGCAGTGTATTTTGTCAATCTGCCTGTTCTGCTCCCCCTTCTATCTCCAGTGAATCCTCTCACTGCCTCTGCACATATGGCCTGTACCCCAGTTCTGTATGCATAAATAAATATTTTAAAACAAAATAAAATTAAAAGTCTTGACCAAAAAAAAAAAAAGTCTAACCCATGAGTTAAGAAAAGAAAAGAAAATGCAGGTCTAACAATAAACAAGAAAATTTTAATAAGAAGAAATCCAAAGTAACAATTGCATGTTTGTCAGAAAACTAATGTGGGCCATTTGAAATGTACAGTTGCATTGAGAGCTTTCAATCACATATTTGCGGGATCTCTCAACTGTGTCTTCGGGGGTTGAAATTTCTATTTATTTGTGTGTTTAGTCTACCATGATAAATGGCAGAAACACTACTAGCCGGAGTTCTAGAATACCAAAGAAAAGGGCAGAATGCCATGTCTTTTGCATACATTAAAGAACACCTGATTTTATTAAGGTATATAAATACAATTGTTACCAAATGGAAAAACAAAAACAAAAATATCATAACTCTCCTTTAAATGTTCAGTTGTTTATCTTAACTAGCCCATAAAGACAGTTGAGGCAGATGTCCAAGCATAAGGGGTGTCTGCTTTTAAGCTCTTCCTTATCTTTGCATTTTACATCTCTCTTCCTTTTAAAGGCTCTGCTATCTGATTGTATTCTACAAGCTTTAACTGTCTATCATCTCTCTGTGATTTAGATCAAAATGATGACATGTCCATTTATGTTTAATGTGTTTTCATTTCATTCAGCTGGGCTTACCATAAATCTATCTTTTGCACAAAGCACTAAATTTAGTTTTTAGAAATTCACCTTCCAGAATTACTTCTACTTTAATTTTAAACGTTTATCTCATTTTAGTAACACTGCAGACCTAGAGCATATCCAAGTCTAGAGGCAGGTATTTCTTGCATGAACAGAAATGCCACTAGTCCTGTCTACTAAGTTTGTATCCTAAAAATGCTAAGATGCTTAACTGTGATCAGCCATGACAGAGTATACTTCCCTCCTCTTTTGTTCACTATTACTACTTCAAGAAAATGATTGTTGACTTTATTTTTATGTAATATCATCTTTAGAGTTTGGTTACATAAGAGTAGTTAACTTTTATGCAAATAGCCTGTGTCTTAGAGAAAAAGGATTAAAAAATTAAAATTCAGGGCCTGCCTGGTGGCACAGGGGTTTAGGTCTCAGTGTTATCAAGCTATCCGCAGCCACTGCAGCTTGAGTTCGATCCCCAGCCAGGGAGGTGACCCACATGGTGCAGCAGACCTCTCCTGTCTCACCTGCTGCTGTCCTAGCAGTGTATTTCAGTAGATCTACCTGTTCTGCTCCTCATCCTATCTGGTAAATCCTCTCTCTTCCCGCGGCCCGACATCTCTGGCCTATACCCTAGCTCTTGCATGCATGCATAAATAAGTCTTAAAAATAAAAATTAAAAAAAATTAATTCAACATCTCTGATCATATGAAATAATAATTCCATGTCTGTCCCCCTCGTAGCCTTTGACTGAGCACCAAAAGGATAGTGTGCCAGGTGCTTTAAAGTCTTCTTACTTAGTTTTCCTTGACATACACTATGATCTAACCCCAAACACTGCCCAACTCCCCACCCTATCACCTTCCCCCCTCTCTATTTCATGATGGTTCCTTTTGACTAATCTAC